AAATGTTTCGACTTGTGAATCAATTACCGAACCCTTTATCCATAGCGCTCTTCTTAACACTTCATCACCTTGCCTAGCGAGCGCCTCAACGAACGCATAGTGCTTGATCGCATACACCTCATCTCTACCGATCTTCGGCGTACGCGTGCGCACGACTTCGTCCGTGAGAGCGTATATGCACTCATCACGACTGAGGCCGCTCATGAGCTCATGTTTCTCAATAACCTTGAGCAAAAGCGTCGCACCTTTCTCTGCACTGATGTGGAAATTGGCGTACAGCGCGGCAACTAGCTCGTTTATGGCAGGCAGTCGACCTTGGACTGCGTGCGTGTGATTGAAAGCAACAGGAGCTGTTTCCATAGCGTCCGCCGTCTCCTCTAGCGCAGTAGACTCTGACGGTGCAGGTTCTGAAGGCGCCGTCGGTGCTTCGTCGGGCACATCTTCCATTGGTCGAGTTAGCATGTACTCGAGCGCTCTCTCCACACTCTGTCCATTCACAGCTGCGAGTGCGTGATGCGCGTGACCTCTGCTGAATCCCATCTCAACGATGGAATCTATCATCGTCTCTGATGGAACAAACTGCCGTGGCGGCGGGCGCGGTGGAGCACGCGGTACCGACGCGGCACGACGTTGCTCGGACATGACGGCTTGTTCGGTTCCACTAATGATGTTGAGTAGACACTGCACTAGTGCGTCGGAATCCACATGACCTGCCGCTACGGACGCAAAAATGTCCGTTTCTGGCCGCCAAATACACTTCAACGCTTCATTTAGAGAGCAATGAATCCAGTCCATGGCAGATCTTGAGTTAGTGAACGCGTCAGAAATATGTGTGTACTTTGTCATCTTGTCGTAGATAGGATCATCTTCTACGCGTTCGGGAAGACGTGTACCAAGCGCGAGCTTATTCGAGTTGTTCGATGCCATCAATTTGACGTCGGATATAGAGACGAAAATGCGCACAAAGCAGCTCAACGTCCTGTAACATTCCGCTGCGACATGTCCTTGCTCAGCCTTTTCCCCGGTGCACGTTTCTAATATACTCTGTGTCAGAGCCACCGTGCCTTGAAAATGGGTGTAAAGTTGCTCGAATAACCCACATCGAGCGGCGTAGTTGATCATGACCCCGTTCGGTGAATTTCTCTTGTCATCGAAGAATGATTCGTAAATCAACGCAAGGAAATTGTGCGAGCAGCGCTGTTCAAAATCCATCTTAGCATTCGATGCGTGACTCGGCGGAAGTAGCTCAGCCTGTGCGGTGACACGAGACGTAAACGCTTTGGTCATCTCGCGCGCAACTGCAATTATTGCTTCTCCGCTAAGCTTGATGAAATTTTGAGCTTCTGGACCCAAGTCTTTACGTCGCCGCATCGTTGTCGAAAGTTTTGCCACCGCGGCAAACAAACCACTTGTAACTCGTACAAAAAGATCCGCTCGAGTGTACAGCCACCAAACCGGTGAATACGGCATTTCATCCGCTTGAATTTCCACTGCGAGTGAACGAAGCTTCGCTTCAATCTTTACCGCTTCATTGAACGCCGCCAACGCTGCGTTGAACAAGCTTTCGGCCATCATCGGGCCGTGAGGATCGTCACGTCGCTTATTCATGATAGCAGCAGACATCACCGGAACTTGCTGCACGAGAGTCGCGAGAAGTTCACACAACCTTTCGTGCGCAGCCATGCGCTGGCACAGTGATTTTGTCTGTCGACAGAACCGAACTTCGCGGTCCAACGCTGCTTTGTCACCTTTGTGCTTTTCGCTCAATGTCTTGCTGTAAATATCGTACGTCGCTAATTTATCGATGTCATCACCTGTCTTGTCGAGCTCGTGGACGTAAAACTCTTCAATCTGCACACCGATATCAACAGCAGAGGCCATATACTTTTCAACGACGGTAGTGCACGCGAGAATCACGTCGTCTGACAGATTCGGCGTGTTCGCGCCGGCATACGAGTTGCTGGGATCCGGCGGGTTAATGAGCGATTTGCACGCGACACTGATGGAGTTGTAGCTTGCACATGTCGAAAATTCAACCGGAAGAGGGCATGTCAACATATTGAGCATGGAATCCAGAGCCCCAGCTTGAACCAGCGGCGCGCACATATGCGAAGTCTGCAAAATACCATCCATGAACCTCGCCACATTTTGAAGCGTTTTCGATATTGGCATTTGCTCGACGACTGCCTTGTTGACGAACGCGTGCTCAAGATTCGTCTCCGAATCTGATATCTTTCGAAGTTGTATCGTGAGATCGGACAATATGTCGTTCAAGACTTCGACACTGACGTCTTTTAGTGCTGGAATGTGGCGCAGCGTCTCGTTGATCCCAGTTCCGACGATTCTCGACGTATCGGCGTTCAACGGGAAAGAACTATCTTGAAACATTTTTCGAAAGCAGACCAACGCCGAAGACTTCAACACTTTTTCCTGCCCTTTCTCGTTCAAACATATCGCGTTAAGTGTCGTCGGTATCGCGCAAAGTACTTTAGCCATACCCTTACTACGGCCGAGTGGCCACATGGTTTCAGTGATAAACTTCAGGAATGCGTCCACAATACCGGCTTCGTCTAGCGTGGCGTAACACGTCGGCTCGTTATGAATGACGTCGCACACTAAATTCGCGGTGAGCGACGACACCCCAGGACCAAACTTGAGAGGGTATTTCAATACACTTCCCAAGATATCAGTCAACGTCCCATCCGAAAGTCCGGGAACTCGCATGCGTGCTCCTCCGTACGCAAAACTCGTGTACGCCAATGTTCGCATCAGAACCTTGATCAAAACTCTTCGATAAAAGTTCACGTACTTTGGTGCCTTTTTCATCGCTGCGAGCGATGTTTCGGCGTCCTCTAAACTAGAAAGACTATCTATTTTTCGTTTTCTATCCGCCACGTCATCGAGATGTCCCGACGCCCGCAGCTCCTCGATCGCCGTAACGGACTCGTATCGCATGCGCTTCAAAAGCAAATCCGTTCCGTTCAACTCTCTAAACGCTACGACCGCGTTGGGTTGAAACTCCAGATACGATTCCACGATATGCACCACGTCCACGACCACCGGGATCGCTTCGAGGCGCTCCAGCTTGAAAATTGACATCAAAAGCGGAAGGAGCTCAGCCTCTCTTATCGCCGTGCACCCAGGCGTTGTTGTGCTCAAAATCCCGACAAGATGCATCAAACACCTCGCGTCGCGAACGACGTCGAAATCGATTTCCGCATCACTTGATGACAGCGGCGCAAGCAACGCCGCCGTCATCGTTGATACGCATTGACTAAGCGCTCCTCGACCGGCTGGCCGTCTCATGATTTGACAAACTTGAAAGCCGCTCGCGCGTTCGTTTGTGTACGCGCTCAGCAAAGTTGTCGCGTCTCGTCGTAGGAGCAACGACGGCGTGACTCCTAAATCTACCTGCATCAAGTCCAACAGCTTGATTGCGGTCGTCTGCGCGTCTTCAACGTAAAGCTCGAAATCGCTCGGTTCCGCCCCTTTCCCTAGATGGACGTTGATTTGCTGCGCGAGGATCGAAAGACGCGCCGCCTTCTCGCGACCCGCCCGCGTCCTTTGCAGCGATTTGCTCCACAACTGTGCCAACACACCAAAATACGCCGCGGAGATGTCTTTGAGAGAGTCCATTTCTTTGCCCGGATCGAACATTTGAGGTCGTGAAAAGTCATCGATTAAGCACTCAAGGCTCGAGGCGCGATTATACGGCCGGTGCATCTCGGACGGGTCGAGCCCCCGTCGGCCAGACGCCTTGAAGACTATTTCATCGCTACCACTCGACGTCGTGTCGACTGTAAACTCGTATCGCGTGCAATCTAACGGACCACTTCCCTCTTCGCGGTCTTCGGCAACGAATAACTCGTGCGCAACGACTTCACAGGCTTTCGACTCGTTCTCGTCGGCGTCGTTCAAGTGCGCCGCGCTCAACGGCATGTGCGCGTGAATCTTCGAAAGCATGAATCGCACTCTCCGCTGAAACACGTCCGACGAAAAGTACGCGTTACGCGGCGTTCGCCCAACCACGGATCGCCTCGTCGCCGCCGCTAATAACCGCAACGCGCTCTCGCACGTTTCAAAGAACTCCAAAAACAACGCCGTAGCCTCGCCGTGCGCAAACGACGGCAATTCGCCGCAATTTTCTACAATCTCTCGCATGAACTCCATGATCCAATTCACCGCCGCAAACGCCTCGATTCGCTCCGACGCATCGTCGCCGCGATCGCGAATCCATCGATTTTCGATCGCGCGCACACCCTCGCGCGTCAAGTACTCCGCGAATCGAGCGAACACGTCGCCCCAGTGTCGTTCCTCGCACTTCCCGTACCTCCACTCAAATCTCGCGCGCGTCGTCACCCCACCGGGCAGCGAGCACGCGAGCAACTCTTCCGCCACCGCCACAACCGCCGGGCTCTGCCTCGTTCGAAACCACCGTATCGTCAGTCATACAAACTCGTCTCCACCCTCGTTTCCACCCTCGCCTCGTCTCGTCTCGTCTCCACCCTCGTCTCGTCTCGTCTCGTCTCGTCTCGTCGATGTCGTCTCTCGGCGCGCGCGTCCACCCTTCCTCGCGCTCGCACGCACCGCATCCCGTCTCGCATCGCTCCCGCGTCCATCATCGTCGTCCGTCCACGCCGCGGAATCCCGCGTCGTCGACGCCGTCCCTCGCATCGCGCGCGCTCGCGTTCGCGTCCCGCGCCGTCGTCGTCGTCGTCGTCGTCGTCGTCGGTCGTTCGTGCCGCCGCCTCAATCTCGACCGTTCACGCCGTGCGCGCGCGTCCAGACGTCCGCGCGTCCACGCGTCGCGCGCGACGTTCGCTCTCGAACCCTCGTCGATTCGTCGCCGCGCTCGCGCGACGTCCTCGCGCGCGCGTCTGCGGGCGGCGCGTCGTCGCGCGCGCGCGGGGTCGTATTGGTCCGTGTGGGCTTGACCGAGCCCCCACACACGCGGGTGTTTTCGGTTACCCGCGACGACCGACGCGCGCGGCGCGCGAGAGCGCGACGCGAGCGACGCGCGACGCGAGCGATGCGCGGTGACGTCGCGCGAGCGATCGCGCGGGCGTCGAGACGCGCGATGACGACGCAGACGCACGCGCGAGGCGAAAGAATGGCGATGGCGAAAACGATCGCGGCGGCGACGACGACGACGACGACGACGAGGACGACGCGCGCGAGCGCGAGCGCGCGACGGATGATGAGCGCGAACGCGTCGAAGATCACGGCGGCGCCGATGGTGTACGTGCGGGGAGAGGAGATGACGGCGTACGTCATGGATTTGATTCGCGCGAAGTGGATCGAGCCGCGCGTGGACACGACGGCGTGGCGAGAGTTTGATTTGCGAGCGAAGAATCGAGACGATACCGAAGATCAGGTGCTGCGAGACGTGATCGAGGCCGGGAAGGCGGTGAAGGCGATATTTAAGGAACCGACGGTGACGCCGACGGCGGATCAAGTGAAACGATTGGGGTTGCGAAAGAGCTGGGGGTCGCCGAACGGCGCGATGCGACGCGGATGGAACGGGATTACCATTTCTCGAGACACCATTCACATCGATGGCGTGGAATTGGGATATAAGAAACCGGTGTTCTTCGAGCGACACGCCGTGGGCGGGGAGTACGCGGCGGGGTACAAGAATGTGGGCAAAGGGACTTTGGTCACGACGTTTACGCCGAGCGAAGGCCCAGACGCGGGGAAACCTGTCGAGGTCGATTCGCGCACGATCACCGACAACGAAGCGGCGGTGGTGACGTACCACAATCCGTACGATAACGTGCACGAGCTCGCGCGTTTCTTCTTCGGTCGATGCCTCGAAGCGAAGATTACGCCGTACGTCGTGACGAAGAAGACGGTGTTCAAATGGCAAGAGCCGTTTTGGCAAATCATGAAGAAAGTTTTCGACGAAGAGTACAAGTCCAAGTTCGTCGACGCTGGGGTGATGAAGTCCGGTGACGAGCTCGTGCACTTACTGTCCGACGCGGCGACGATGAAGCTCGTGCAATGGCGCCAAGGCGGATTCGGCATGGCGGCGCACAACTACGACGGCGACGTTTTGACGGATGAGTTAGCCCAGATCCACAAGTCCCCGGGTTTCATCACGAGTAACTTGGTCGGCGTCGATGAAAACGGTACGCTTATCAAAGAATTTGAAGCCTCGCACGGCACCGTCGCCGACATGGACGAAGCGCGTCTGCGCGGCGAAGAGACCTCTCTCAATCCTCTCGGCATGGTTGAAGGTTTAATCGGCGCCATGAACCACGCCGCCGACGTTCACAACGTCGACAAAGAGCGTACGTTAGCGTTTACCGCTAAAATGCGCGCCGTGATTCACCAACTCTTCCGCGAAGGCAAAGGCACGCGCGATTTGAGCGGCCCCTCTGGTTTAACCACCGAACAATTCGTCGACGCCGTCGCCGAACGTCTTTGATTTCGATGGCGTCTCTCACACCCTTGTCATACTAGTGCCGCGTCATTATTACATCACATCACCACCATTAGGCTCGCGCTTTCGATCGCGTCGCGTTTCCCATCGAACGAGCGCGCGGCGAGACGTTTTCGTCCCCGAACCGCGCTCTCGACGACGTCCTAACCCTGGACATTAACGTCGGTATCGTCGTAATTTGACCCTAACGCTGGCGTCACTCGCCGTCGAACGACGCCCGCGTCGTCTGCAATCGCGCATCGCTCGACGAATCGCACGAACGATGAGCTTTGCCACCCAAGCGGCCGCGTCCGACGGCGCTAAGAAGCCGCAAGAGCCCAAGGCGCCGGTAAAAGCCGTCGAACTCGACGGCGGCGCCGCGCTCAAGATCATGAAACATTGCGCCGACGCCGCGCCCGGGAGCGCGACCGGACAGCTGTTGGGGCTGGATATCGGCGCGAGCCTCGACGTGACGGCGTGCTTTCCGTTTCCCAAGGTGACCGCGGACGATCAGTACGATCCGGACGGCTCGTTCGCCGCGGAGGAGGGCGCGGCGTATCAACTCGACATGATGCGGTGCTTGCGAGAGATTAATGTGGATTCGAACATCGTTGGATGGTATCAGAGCACGTATCTCGGGACGTTTTATAACGAGGAACTCATCGCGACGTTTTTGTCCTACTCCGAGAGCTTGCAGCGCTGCGTGTGCGTGGCGTACGATCCGACGTACGCGGAGCAAGGCGTGTGCGCGTTGAAGGCGTTGAAACTGAGTGAAAAGTTTATCGAGGCGTATAAGAATGGCAACGGAGAGTTGACCGTGGAACAGATTCATGAGAAAGGGTTGAAGTGGAATGATGTCGTGGTGGAGGTGCCGCTGACGATTAGGAATAGCGCGCTCGCCACGGCGGTGATGGGCGAGTTGATGCGAGACAAGGATGTGACGCTCAACGACACCGATTACGAGAGATTGGATTTGAGCACGGCGCCGTTCGTGGAGGAGAACATGAAGTTGCTCGGCGAGTGCATGGAGGATTTCGCGAACGAGCAGCAGCGTGTGGCGTATTACCAGCGCAACATGCAGCGGTACCAGTCGCAACACGCCCACTGGTTGCACAAGCGTCGTCAAGAAAACGCGCGTCGACGCGCCGCAGGGGAGGACTTGCTTCCGGAAGAAGATCCCAACTACAAAGCTCCGCAACCGCCGAGTCGCTTGGAGAACTTTTTGATCACCAACCAAGTCGCTGAGCACGTGACTCACCTCGAAAATTTCACCAAGAAGACGTCGGCCAAGCTCGATTTGGTCACCGCGCTGGGGAAGTAAAGTCGTAGCACATCACTCATCTTGTTGCAACAACACACGAAGACGCTAGCAGTTTTGGCACTTCCTGACGTCTCCACGCGTCTACCGTTCACGCATCGAACTGTCGGCGTCCCGAGCGCGCGCCGAGGCGTTGACTCGCGTCTCGCGCGTCCGCCGCGGCGCCTCCCTCACACACCGACTCCGCGCGTCCCTCGACGGCGCGCGCTCGACGCGAACGCATCACGGTCGCGATGATGGTGGCCATCCCCCCCGCCCTCGCGCGCGCGCACGACGCGTTCGCGACGCTGGAACCGTTCCTCGCGCCCCTGGGCGAGTGGACCGCGAAAGTCGTCACCGGAAACCCCGCGCACGACGTCGCTCGCGCGCTATTCACGTACTACTTCATGTCCATCGCGTGTAACGCGTTCATCATGCTCGTGTCCCTGTGTTTCAGCCGCAGAGTCGTCGGGGCGAAGCGTTTCGACGCGATGAAGCCGCACGAGCGAACGACTTGGCACACGAATTTGTGCACGTTTTGGCCCGCGTTCGCGGTCACGGCGTACGCGCTGCCGGCGATCGCGACATTTTCGGGGAAGAGCGATTCGTTCGTGAGCGATGTGAGCGCGCTGACGTCGAAGGCGTGTGGGTTGTCGATCGGTTACATGACGTGGGACTTGGGAGTGATTTTAGCGCGTTGGGACGATCAAGTCGTGGCGTATGGAGGGAAAGGCGCGCTGTACTTGTTCATCGTGCATCACGTGTTTTCCATCGTGCTGTGGCCGTACGCGCTGATGCGACACTTGTGCGCGTATCACATAAACTATTTTCTCGTGAGCGAGGTGACGAATTTTAACATGTCGCTTCGATGGATTTTAGCGGCTCTAAACATGTCCAACACGAAACTGTATTTGATCAACGGCTTGGCGTGGATTCCATTGTTTTTGGGCGTCCGCGTGGTTGTCATACCGCGACTTTTCGCGGCGTACATGAACTCGGATTGGGGAGTATTGACGACGCCACAATACTACGCCGCGCTTTTGACGCTTCCCATTCCGTCGCTCTTAAACTTGTATTGGGCGCAACAAATCGTCGTCGGAGCGGCGAAATTCTTAATCACGGGCGAGGACGTGCTGAAACAAGATTAGTTCTCGCGTAGCAAACAGGTTGTAAACGAGGGCAAAGTTAAGAAATGCTTTGTGCGTAAAAAATACATGGTCTAAAACGGCGCCGTCACGCCTCTCGCGGACAACTCCGCGTACACCTCGTAAGCGATGGCTAACATCGCTAATCGTCCATGAATCATCTCCTTACGCGCGGTGAAGATTCCGACATCCTTCTTACTTTTGGGATCGCCGCCGTACGTCTTCCCCAAAAAGCTCGGCGCCGCCGACGCCGCGGCGACCACCGCCAACACCGCCGCGAACAACAACACGTGATCGTGCGCTTGCGTCACGAACCCCGTTCCCGTGGTGTACTGCCGCCACAGTCCGCACACGATCCCAATCTGCGCCGCTCGTCCGTTTACCGTCTCGGGCGCCCAACCCGAGAACGCCAGCGCGTCGAACGCGCTTCTTCCCTCCACGCGTCCTCCTCGCGCGTCTCGCGTCGCCTTCGCGCGCTCAAGAGCCTCACTCACGGGCACCATGACGTTATCGTTCGCTTTCGGCGCCTCCACCGCGCTCGATCGCACCGCTCGACGTCGCTGTTCGTTCGGTGGCGGAGTCGACGTCGACGAACTCGACGCCGCCGCCGCGTCTTTTCGACGGAACGGACACGCCGACCCGAGCGCGCACGAGCGCACGGCGGTGTACATTTTCGCGCGCGCGACTTTTCGGGGCGAGCGTCGCGGAGTGCGGCGGTGGCGACGCGCCACTGAAAAGTGTGCGGCGCGTGGACAGACTGTGCGTCGCGTCGCGTCGAGGGTCGCAAAATTTTAATTCGTTTTACATGATTAGCGTCGACGCCGACGCGGGCCGACGTCGCGATGATGAACATTGATGCGCGCGATCGCGATCACGGCCCCGAGGCGCAGAGCTTGGCGCCGAAAGCCACGCACGAAAAGAATTTCGCCTTGACGAGGACGAAGAGCCAGTGCAGCGAACCGTTTGGCTGAATGCTCGTCGTGAAACTCACGAGGACGCTGACTATGGTGAACAGAAGACCGTACGTCGCGATGCGTTCGTTGATGCGCTGTAAGCGCACTTCCACGGATGCTTGGACGAGGGAAGTGGTGCGCTCGAGGGCGTCGCTGAGAATTTTCGCTTGCTCGGCGACGGCGTAGATGGTGCTCACCGCCGGGTCGATGCGCTTCTTGACGAAGAGCGGTAAGAAGCGAATCTCGTACCCGAGACGCGTGAAACTGGCTTCTGCTAGGCGAAGCTCGATGATCTCGAGATACGACGCCGTCGTGAGGGCGACGAGCTTCGTTCGCGTCACGAGCTGCGTGATGGCTTGCTCGAGTTCGGTGATTTGCGTCACAAACTCTTGCTGGTCTTTGTGCCCGCGCGCAGTGGCTTTCGATCGGCGCAGCTCGCGCGATAGCGTTTCGTACCGCTCGTTCAAGCCGGCTAGAAGTGGGAACTTGGACTTGGCCATGGGTAAACGTTGCAGAATCATGAGTCGATATTGCTCGAGGGCGAAGAAGCGTTGCAACTGTCGCCCCGCGCGAATAAACGTGCTGTCTCCCGGGGGCACGACCACGAGCGTGGTCATCGCGCCCGAATCATCGAGCTCATAGTTGGCAAACATGCGACTCCCATCGCCTATGCCACATCCCACGAGCGAGCCGGCGTCCCATTCCAATACCGCGTCTTCCTCGTCCATCGACGCGTTGACCTTGTCCTCGTACAGCGTCGATCCGAGCGCTTTGCGAATGGCGTTCAATTCTTTCAGCGTCGGCTCTTCGCTTCGCGATGGCTGCGAAAGCTGTCTAAATACCGCGTGATTCACCAAGAAAACCTTGCCCGGAATGTCAGCCAACCAATCGTGCGGTAACAACCACTGCCACGGCGTGATGCGCGTTCCGAGCGACGCCTTCATGTTCCCCGGACCGCTCAGCGTGATCGTCTCGAATTCCGTGTGCCTTTGCATGCGTAAGTTGAACCCAGAGCCAAGATTCAGCGTGACGTCGGACCAACCGCGTTCGATACCGTCGAGCGTTTCTTCCACGAGCTCCTTCGGCATGGTGTAGTGCGCCAAGAGTTGCTCGATGCACTCGCGATACGCCAACCCTTCCTCGCGCGTGAACTTCCCGGTTTCATCGTACTCGCGATACCACGCTATGTGTAGAACTTCACCCTTCAACGGCACAAACGGTCGCGACCGCGTCTCCGCGCTCAACGCTCGCCTTTGTCCGAGCCCGCGGTCCGCCGTCGACTTCTTCGCCTCTCGTCCCTCCGCGTCCTCGTCCACCGACTCGCTCGTCGACGCCTCGCTCGCGCCGGCGTCACCGTTCGCACCATCATCCACCACCACCGCGGACGCGTCCTCGCCCTCCATCGCTTCGACGTCCTCGTCCCGAACGCTCGTCGTTCGCGCGTCGCTCGCGCGCGTCCTCGTCCCGCGCGTCGTCGCGCTCGACCCGTCCCGCGCGTTCCAAGCGTCGAGCCATCGCGATGCGCGCGTCGCGCGCGCCGCGCGCATCGCGTCTTCAACGCGCGCGCGCGCCGCGTCGTCGCCGATCGTCGCGCGTCGCGTCGCGCGCGCGTCGAAACCGCTTTCCGAACGC